ATCCTGGATTAATTTACATAAGCTGTGAAAGCACAGAGTGACCTGCATTCTCACCATTAATACAATAATTCTGTCACCTTTTTTTATCAGAGTCTTATATTTTTCAATAGTTTGAAACATCACTAAACTGACAAGTCACCTGCGTGTTCAAATTGTTCTTAAAAACTGCACCCAAATACCACAGAATATAAGTAATAACCTGAAAACCTCTTTTTATGTTATGATTGGACTTCTGTGCCATTGATGCGGCTAAGGGCTAATGAGGATTCTGTTTCCTTTGTCCATGTAGACACAAATAAAAGAAGGGAGGTGAACCTTAGTTCTTCAAGGTCCTTCTCCTTCCTTAGAGATTCCATGTGCCAAGTAGCACAAAGTTAGGTGAGAGTCTATCTGAATATAGCAATGGTTCTCTCTTCTATGTGTTGATGTCTAGACAATGACTAATTTTTTCCACCTCCATCCTGCCATTATCTCAGTAATTCATTCAGCAAGCATTTATTCAAGACTTGCTATGGCGCACTGTCCTAGGTACCAGGTAAAATTCAAAGGCAAAAGAGGTACATTTCCCTTGAGGAGGTTGCAGAAAGGTAAAGCTATGAACTAAAGAATAGGCACATTAACAATGTAGTCAGTGCCACAGGCAGCCCCCTCTCCACATACATACATACACAAATTCATTCACTCACATAAACACACAAAGCCCCCTTGTGCCATGAATATGAGCTTCTAGGACTTCCTGACTCTTTCTAAGTTTTGAAGCAAAGACTTGGATTTAGTGCTAGATTTTGTCATTTCAATAGAGTCATTTCATGTGTGCCTGTCTCTATGTGTTTTTCTGTGGAGTCACCTTTATATAGGGTTTCCTTAAAGATAAAATATTCTGAACAATTGATGCCTTAAATAACCAGATTCATTGAATACATCTCAGTTACTCATTCTAATACCAGATGTTGTTCAGAATTTTTTAAAACTAGTAGTCTCTGATATAGTCACTAATTCACATATTCACTAATAGTCTCTGACAACATCACTTGTTTGGGAAGACAGAGACTGAGTCAACATGATTTAAATTCATAAAATCATAATAAATATCCCCAAAGTAGACATAACTTTGTTTTCTCAAACCTTATTCATCCAAAGTATTCTTTTAGTTAGTTAACAGCAGGAAGTTGGATCTTTTTTGTTTTTCATTGTAGTGAACAGTATGTAGAACAGTGCAGGTTTTGGCATCAGACTGCCTATATCTGAAATTAGGTTCTCCCCTTACAAGCTGTGTGACTTCTCTAGGCCTACATTTTCTCATCTGTAAGACGAAAATGGTGTGTGCTGTGCTTAGTCACTCAGTCGTGTCCGCCTCTTTACAACCCCATTGATTGTAGCCCACCAGGCTCCTCTGTCCTTGGGGATTCTCCAGGCAAGAATACTGGAGTGGGTTGCCATGCCCTCCTCCAGGGGATCTTCCCGACCCAGGGATCAAACCCAGGTGTCCATGTTGCAGGTGGATTCTTTACCATCTGAGCTACAGGGAAGCCCAGGATGGAGATAGTAATGGTAACTACCTTACAGAGATAGAAGGATGAAATGAGTAGTAACATGTGAAGCATATAACTCTGGGACAGGCAAAGTCATTGAATAAGCTATTGTTATTATTATTATTATTATTACCATTATTCTTAAATCCAATTGAATATTCATTTGATTGCAGTGAGGACATTTAATATTTGGCAAGAAAAACATTTATTAGCTACCCTATGTCTACTTTTATGGCAGTAGAGTGATGAGAATTTGGATTAATTTTATCTGTTCTTTAAAAATATAAAATCCTTTTGCTCTGTTCACTCATTTCACTTATGTACGTATTGAAACCACAGTTACTAAAAGTTTAGTGTGTGAAAGGGATTGGGCAGGGCAGGAACACAAAGATTAGCCACTACTGATAAAAGCCAAAATGGACTTCGAGTTTGAGACTCTGATCCTGGAATTCTGCATGGTTTTCTAGCTAGTTAAGCCTAATATACTTAGGTACAAAAAATATAGTAAATAATGATCATATAATCAGAATTCATTGGTCTTTCATAATATAGAAATATTAGGTCTTTTTAAGCCAAGCCCAATGTTTCCTTTTCCCTGATCTACATAGTTTTTTAAGCCATTTCAGCAATCAATGAGGCTTCTTCAACTTATTCAAAGAAAGAAAAATATTCTCTATAGATTTCATATTTCTAATTGGTGCTGAAATTCATGAGCAAAGTTATTATACTCATGTATTTATTTAACATACGCAAGGCTCAAAGAGAAGGGAGGAAGGAGGGGAAGTATTATATAATGACACTATGCAGTAGAGAAAAGATGAGTGTAACCCATACTTGCCTGAAGCTTATAGCAAAACTCTTATCTTTCACCTAAAAGAATCTGGGTCCTCCTTTTGAGATGAGAATAGAAATGGCAAATGTCTGTACTTTTTTTCTTAGCCATTTCCTGAAAGGCTTTATTTGAGGCAGCAAGAGTGAGGAATTTCCAAAGGGGAAACAAACCTTGAGAGGATATCCCTGAAGGAGCAATGCTGGAAAAGGAAAGGGAAGAAGGTATCGGCAGCAAAAAGTCTATGGCACTAAGATCAGATCAGTCAAAGGGAAGAAAGAAATAGCCCACTGGAAAAGGGTGATTTTGTTAGAGTTTCCGAATAATTGTTTAATTTATTGGTACTATGGTTTAGTTGAGTTCTTCACTGAAATGTTGAATCTGGCCAGTTCAATTCAACCAAATTTTATCTTTCCATCTCTATTCTCATTTGCTATCTTGTTATGATATCAAATGGATTTCTGAATTGCCAGTCTTTTTTTTTTTTTTTGGCAAGATTATATGTGATATACTTCCCTAAATTTCTTTGTATTCAACTTGGAGAAACCTGAAAATCCCTTGATATCTTACCTAATTTGCTCAAGATGTTCATAAGTTCTCACATACCTTCCTCTCTGTTCTGCTGCTGCTAACAGATAATTATTTCAGTGTCTTTCAAAGGGATGGTCTCTAGAGTCCAACACAACAATAGTCAAAACCTCAACTGTCCTCAACATAAATGAAACTATCTTTTTAAAAATGAAAAAATGTGTCCCCTTTCCTCTTTATTTATTACAAATGGTTAAGGAGAACACGCCTGAGCTACAAAGTCACTTCTCCCAATTCTTTATCACAAGGACCAAAAGCTCTTTGAACATTTAGCAGCTCCTGATCTCAGATTTTTCAGATGCCAAGAATCAGCCAAAGAAGCAATATTGTGATCCCAGTAGTTGTCATCATGTAGCACCATCATGGCCAAGGTAGGAACACCGCTCTCAATGACTTAAGCATTAGAGATGGTTGCCATCTCTCTTATTTGTACCTAAGTGAACTATTAAAAATAACGAAGTGTTCCTAGAGCAATTCTCTTATTCAAAAAATAATAATAATAATAAATGGATTAGCACATTATCTGCCAACATTTTTAACCAAGATCTAGGTAATTCTGATACAGGTGGTTTCAAGACTACACTCTGAGAGACACTAGTGTGTAGACAAACCCTCTTTCACTCAGTCAACAAACCAATCAAGCAGTGATTCCCAGGAAGTGAGTCTGATGCCAGGCTGATTAACTAAGTAAGAATGCAGAACCCTAGGCTTTCCCCTGCCCCAGATTTAAGGAGGCCCAGAAACCTGCTTATAAACGACTATGTTTAAAAGTTTTCCAGGAAACTAATACATAGCCTGTGGTGGGTGGAAAGGAATTGTATTTTAGTTTAACACATCTGTGGGGGGTCCTTGTTCCACAGTTTACTAGCTCTCTGACCTTATGTAATATCATTGGTCTGTAAAATGGCTGTTGCAAAGATTAAAGAAAGCAATGTGTGTTCAGAACCCAGCATGTTGTCAGCTGCTTGTTTTTGTTATCCCTACATCCTATGCTCAGCTCCAAGTAAAATATACAGAAGTAAAATGTGTGATTCATCACTTCAAGAATCTTATCATCTGTTTAGAAAAGTAATATAAATATTAATAAAAATTTTAAACAAGATTTATATTCTAAGGCAGTAACATATTTGCACACATAAACACAATATTCTGAGTGAAAAAGTAGACTGTAAAATACAAGGACATAGGAAAAGTCCTAAGAAGCTTGCTTTAAAATATCTATTTCTCTTAATTCAAGTACACTAATTTTCATTAATTCACCAGATTTTTATTTCTATTAAGAAATCTATTAGAATCATGAGTGATAAGCAATTTATTTAAAACTGAAAACAGAGAGAGTAGTATGTATTTGGGAAAGAGATTAATGGCATGGACTATAAGGGGCCCATGAAACCCCTAAAATATTATGCAGAGTTGTTTACATGAGTACAGTATTTCTGAGGAGAGGTCTATACCTTTTATTTGATTCTCAAAGGGTTTGGTGATCTCAAAATACTAAGGACCACTGGCCATTGCTATTTAGCACATCTTATGTGTATCTTCATATATGCTGAAGAAATTTAACTCCTCATTTCATTCCAAATAATCTCCATGTGTACATTCTCTGAAATGTCCTCTGAGTCATTTTCCTCAAGCTTTCACCATTCAAATACCCTGAGAAAAGAAGTAACACAGTAGATTTCATTTAAGGAAATTGTAAAGCAAAATTTCATGGCTACTTCAGCCTATTCAAATTCTGCAGGCATCAGCAGGGAAGTTTATGTACGTGTTTTAAAAGTTCCAGTGGCAGAGATTAACTGATGATTATTTTCTGAGTTTCCCCTTTTTTATTTTTTATCCATTGCTCAGTCTTTTGAATTATTTTCGATTAGTTCTATGTTTCTTTTCATCTCAGGTAGAAGAGTGAAGGAACTTCCCCTGGAAGGATATAATTCAATTTTGCCAACTTGCATTTTGCCAACCTAGCAGTTCTTCCTCTTTTTGTTTGATTTGTAATGTGGTAACAACACCATTGATGTTGCACATTTTATTTCTCTCTCCCTTTAGGTGTGTGTGCAACATTGACTGTTCTCAAACCAACTTCAATCCCCTCTGTGCTTCTGATGGGAAATCTTATGATAATGCATGTCAAATCAAAGAAGCATCATGTCAGAAACAGGAGAAAATTGAAGTCATGTCATTGGGTCGATGTCAAGGTAATACTCACACCAAAATTCATTTTAAAGAATATCTTTAGTTTTTGCATGGGCTTCCCTTGTGGCTCAGCTGGTAAAGAATCTGCCTGCAATGCAGGAGACATGGGATCCCTGGGTTGGGACGATCCCCTGGAGAAGGGAAGGGCTACCCACTCCAGTATTCTGGCCTAGAGAGTTCCCTGGACTGTATAGTCCATGGGGTCGCAAAGAGTCAGACATACTGAGCGACTTTCACTTCACTTCACTCAGTCTTTACATAGCAATGAAAAGGGGAGATAATCCCTTTTTAGGCAGGGACTTCATTTTTGAAAGATAAGTTTGGTTTACAATGGACAGTAAATTTTACTGTACCAATTGTGGTGATCATAGAGCCTATTGGCAACGGTCCATACTTTTTTTCTGTATAATGGCATTGCATATTCACAATGCCATCAACACTGAGTCCAATATTCAAGAGATTGTAGATACACTCCTTGAACAGGGTGAAAAGAAAGTTAAAATCATTTTTAGCAAAGATATAAAGATTTATTGTATAACATTGAAATCAAAACAAATCACACCATTTTTATATATTGAGTCAATAGAAATATGTCAAGTTCATTTTTATAAGTGGGATGTCCCAGAATGTCCTATTTTGTTTCTTGTTCAGAAACAAATATTTTCTTGGGTTTTGATTTGTTATTTTTTTACCCAACTTATCTCAGTTATAGTTTGAAACTTCTCCTTGCCCTAAGCATTAGAAAGCCTATATCTTTCTATTTGTCACTCTTAAACAGAAATTGATATTATAAATCTGTTTTGTGTAAAGATTGCTTAGAAATATATTTGAAAATTCCTTAATTGTAATGAAAATACTGTTAGAAAGATATCTGGGTAACAAGTTAATCAATCTTTATTGTTAATTTTTTTAACACAGATAACACAACTACAACTATTAAATCTGAAGATGGGCATTACGCAAGAACAGATTATGCAGGTACATAATATTTTCTACTACAAAATATGAACACTACTATTAAAGAATTCTGAGGAATCATTGTTTACCATTGGTCCTAAATTGATCTTGTAAGACTCCTGACATGGGCTAGTCTTCTCTTGCTTTACTTCAAATTTTCAGTAGATAAGATTGAATTTTTGTAGAAGCAAATAAGATACTTTTTTTTGCAGTTAAAGCAATTGTCAAAAATGTCAGTAAGATATAATTAACTTGTTTTGACAGCGCAAATAGTACAAATGACAAAACATTTATCAAATTAATGGGCATCAATGGAAATTAATGCAATTTTTGGCAGTATATTGTAATTAATGCAAATGTTCTAGCTTGAATTTTTATAAAAGTCAACAATAAAGAAGTCTTCTAGTCTCTAAAAAAGTTGGAAAGAAAGGACATCTATAAATAGTAGTACAGGCTGTCTTTACTCTGATGCAAAGATTAAAAGGTATGTTTAATTTATTTTAAAAATAATAAAATAATTTACTTAGAAACTAAAATGCAAAATTATGCATTTATAATTTTATAGAGTAAAATTATACTCTGACACATGCAAAATTATAAAACATTTTATGCAGAAATGTAAATCTTATTTAGCAATTATAGAATATTATCCTGAGGAATATTTTTGCCTAATATAGTTTGCTTGAGAAATAATTTATGGGTATTCAAATATGATTTTTAACAGATTCTTAAATTTCATAGAAATTTAGGATAAAAATATAATAAAATCATTGAGGTTGATAATGATATGTAGTTTTTTTTAAACAGTTTTTCATTTAGTTTTTAAATATCTATAACTAGATTTATGGCTAATATCCAATGGAAAAATGCTTATCTTTTGAAATATGGACTATTTTCACTCTTTTTGAAACTGCATTTCCTTTAGCACTATTTCTGCCAGTATATTTATACACATAATAAATCTTGATGAAATTTTTTAAAATTGGCTATTTTACTTATAGATATTTCAAACATCTCAGAGTTTGGAAATAATTTTTTTTAATTTTCCCATTTTTACCTTAATTTTCAACACATAAATAAATTTTCTTTGTATGCCAGTAGTCTGGAATTATCATGAACAATGATCCATGGAAAAAGACATTAGTTCTACATAGATATTGGATAGCTGTTTCCAAAATGTCCAGGAGACCTACTGATACACGTTCCTCGAAAAGAAGAGTCCATGGTCAGTAGTTTGAGAAGATTCCAGATAAACAAACGATTTTTTTTTCTTTTTAACCTAGAACTCCTCATAGCTTTTACGTGCAGTATAAAACTTTTCAGAAATATGCATCTTTTATTTATTTAATGCTTTTTATGTCTTGTGCAGAATTTCTCATATATACAAAATACACACAAATGTAGGCCATATAGTAAAATGAACCCAAAGGTACTCATCACTCAAACCGAGTAACATCAATCCATGGCTGACTTAACCCCATCCCCACACCCATCTTTCTCCACTTTCAAAATATGTGGAAATCATTCCAGAAATTACATCATTTTATTCATAAATACTTTAGCTTACATCTCTAAAAGATCAACTCTTTTTAAATAAAATTATGTCATTATCACACACAACACAGTTGTGAATAATGCCTCATAACACATAGCTTTTATCAAACTTATTGATGAATAACACATTTTTTGTGGCATAGTTTTCATTGCTAGTGTCACCAAGAATGTACTTTGGAATATGCTGATCTATAGGAAAATACTGAAAGTAATGAAAGATAATAATGGAACATTGAAGTCTGGAGCTAATAGCATGTTTTACATATTAAATGATTTCAAATTTAAATTCTATATTTTATTATAAAAAATAACTGTATATGGGCATTTTAAATCACCACCTGACATATTTAATTTTACTGTAGCCTAAAATATTTGGAGATTTTATAAGAATCTCACTTTTATACAAGGAGTAAGTTACTAAATGCACTTAAAATATTTTTATACCTGTTTTGTAAAGTAATTCATTTAGAAAAAAATCCTCAAAAATGTTACGTTTTGTGAATATCTTCTCCATTGAACTCATAGGAAAAACAAACCTCTTCCTGAGAATTTTGTCCCTGAAACAAAGAACAGTTCAAGTTAATTAGCATCAATGTGCAAATATATTTGCATGTATAAATTTGTATCAGTAAATGGAATGGACTATGCAATTCTCTCAACATTATGCATACTGCATATTAATGGTTTGTCCATTTTCATACAGTTTGGGAAGCTGAATTTTTATTCCAAAAAATATTTTATATTTGAGTTTGGTTTCAAACAGATCATCTCTGGTCTTCAGTGTCATTGTTTTTAGTTGACATTGTTTCTTTCCTATCTATGTCTTTATTGAACATAAGAATGTATTTTTAAGTACATGCAAATGAAAACTACCTAGACACTCAATGTTGTCAAAGATGTTCTAATTTGACATCAGATTTATCTAGTAAATCCTAAAGAAAAACTTTTGAGATAAAAAGTAAAGTTTAAAAATAACATGTGTTGAAATCCAGATTTAAGATAGGAACAAAGATAATGTCAATGGAAGCTTGCAATTTCTAATTAAACATTGATTGCAAACTTTAAAATTCCCCTGGATTTAATTTAGATGTTTATCTTCATCAATGATCTTATTAAAATGTAATATATACACTGGCAACCCACTCCAGTATTCTTGACTGGAGAATCCCATGGACGGAGGAGCCTGGTGGGCTGCAGTCCATAGGGTCGCAAAGAGTCAGACACGACTGAGCAACTTCACTTTCACTTTCACTTTCATACACTTTTGAGACATTATTTAAATAATAGTCATGCTGTGTGTGCTTAGTCGTTCAATCGTGTCTGACTCTTTGCGACCCCATGGACTCTAGCTTGCCGGGCTCCTGTGTCCAAAAAATAGTCATGTCCCTCAGCCTTTCTAGGACTTCCTTTGTGGCTCAGATGGTCAAGAATCTGCCTGTAATGTGGGAGACCTGGGTTTCGTCCCTGGGTTGGGAAGATCCCCTGGAGAAAGGAAAGGCTACCCACTCCAGTATTCTGACCTGGAGAATTCCAGTATTCCATGGAGAATACTGCTGGACTGTATTGTCCATGGGGTCGCAAAGAGTCGGACACAACTAAGCGACTTTCACTTTCACTTTTCAGCATTTCCAAGCTTCCCATAGTATTTGAATTTTCCTGAATTTTGGGACTCAAGCTTTAGAAAAAGTTAAAGGGCACCAAATTGAGACTCAGTAGTTATTGTCCTCTTAATTTGTTTCACAAGCTCAAAACTCCCCAAGGAGGGAAAACAGGAACTGGGTGACTCCTTTTCCTAGAAGTTTGCTAGTGCTCACAGCTAATTTAATGTCCGTCACTTTCCCTGTTAGACAAACATTCATGTGCTCTTGCACCACAGAGAGGTACAGATCTTTAATGCGTTCTGCTTTTTTTCCTTACCTGTCTTTAATATTTTACTTTAAAACTTTTAGCTTCCCCCCCACTTTCTTCACTTTGAGCCTACCTTGAAGCTGTTAATATAAGAACACATATATATGATTACAAAAATGGAAATACACTTTAAAGAAAGCCTAAATCTAAAAATAAATATGCTGTATCTCATTTTTTATATAACCTTAAAAAGAGAAACTCCAAGTAAGGACTAGTAGGGGCTCATTTATGAAAAAATGAATGCAAACCACGAGAACCATGCCCCCAGCAAGACTAGATCCTGACTGGGCTTATGCAGAGCCGTGAATCCCCAGGCTCTTCCAGGCACAAACCTGAAATGGACACTAAAAACCAAAGAACTTGTCCGATCATCCCGGTAGGCAGCACTTGCTGATTGTGTCTGACTTGGGTCTCTATTTTGCCTTCTCTTCTTTAATGAGACTCAAGGCATTAGTGAGTCCTGAATCAAGAGCTTTGGGTCTCTTTGTTTCAAGGCAGACAGGATCCCTGTCTGATGAGCTAAACAAGCCACTTAATGCTATTCTCCCTTCATCAGTCTAACATGGGCTTAGATTTAGGTCTTCTTGTTCACTAGCAGAAAGGTTCAGAGAACTCAATTTTATAAAACCACAAAGCTGGGGCTTTCAGGGATTTCCATTGTTTCAAAATGCTAATATTAAACTTTCCTTCTGGAAGTTTTTAAATAGCAAATGTTTTACATCTCTTGAAATCTGCAACATTGTCTTCATAGATGTGTGTATGTGTGTGTTGCCCTCATGTCTTGTAATGAAAAAAGAAATGAAGTGCAACTATTTTGTTTTTCTTCATCTGATATGCGTATTTTCTGATTGGGTTGCTTTTCTGTCTGAAGGTCTGGTCATGCTTCATAAAAATGACTATATATTTTTTCTGGTAAAAATATACTTAATTTTATAAGTTATTAGATGTAAAAAAAAAAAACAAGCAAAACAATCATGAAGTTAAACTAGTCTGTCTTTTATCATCTGGAAAATAAAATATATTTTTTAATGCCATTCTGTACTGATTTCCAAAAGTATTTGCAGCAACTTACAATTAAAATATAGTCAATGAACTTTTTTAAAGAGAAATTGAAAACATAAAAGCAGAACTGTTGAGGAAAATAAATATATCAGCAACATAGACTATTACAGTTACTGCATTTAGCCCTAAGCATTCTTGCAATCAATATGAAAAGAGAAATCATGATTGAATCAATTCATTCAACAAATATTTGGTCTGTTATATGCATTCTGATGTCCTGAGCTTTACAAAGGTGAACATATCAATGGAAATCTCTGCTAAAATGAAGCTTAGCTCTTTCACTGTCTGATCAAAATAATCAGTTCAGAGGCCACAGTTTCTTTGGAACTAAATTCTAAGGAAATATTTAGTGTAGATCTTATAAGGCATCACTGGAAAATATGGAATGGATAAGATCTTCAAAAGTAATTTTTATAAAATATGCCAAGAGTATCTCTATATGGCTGGGGACTTTTAAATCAATTTTTGATATCATTCTAGACCATAGCATTAAAATA